GGCCTGTTTTCTCCTCTTCCTAATTGGGCTCCACTCTAAGGACCTCGTTTTACCTTAATCACCACTTAAAGGCCTGATTTTTATTTTTTAAATATATTTTTATTGATTTCAGAGAGGAAGGGAGAGGGAGAGAGAAATAGAAACATCAATGATGAAAGAGAATCACTGACCGGCTGCCTCCTGCACACCCCAAACTGGGGATCAAGCCTGCAACCCAGGCATGTGCCCTGACAGGGAATTGAACCATGACCTTCTGGTTCATAGGTCAATGCTCAACCACTGAGCCACGCCTGCTGGGCTAAAGGCCTTACCGTTAAATATGGTGACACTCTGAGGTATGGGGGGTTGGGACTTCAGCACACGAATTTTGGAGGAACACGTCAGTCCTTATCATTCATTTTAGAATATTAGTAGGTACTTGAGGTGTTTCCCATCCTCAACTTGAGTGTAGGCACTCTGGGTAAAAGGCCCTATTTTAGGATCCTGTTTCCCCAAGGAGTCAATGGTTTGATGGATTTTCCCGATCACTATGGGAAGTTGTGTCCTGATACAAATATAACTTGAAGGAGAACATAAAATCAGCTGCAGGGGCACCGTGTCACTGACTGCGCTCGATTTCCGAGCTTCCTTCCAGATCCTGTGACTGTTCATTTCCCATCACCAGCCACATGGCTTCCCATGAAATTCTCTTCCCTGGGAGTTTCAGACATTTGCTGCCTTCTTATAGGCAGGCCTCCCAAGACGTGCCATCCTAACTTGTTCTAGTTCCCTCCGTAAGGCTCGTGTTCACATCTGGTGGCACCTGAGATCCTGGCCTGATTCAGGCCCGGAAGCTGGGGAAACTGAGGCAGTGCAATGCCTTTTGCCTCAAGTCTTCCCGAGTCACCCGGACGCTGAGAGGAGTCAACCCCAGGTCTTCCAGCTCCAAGGCCAAGGCTCTTTCCAAGAACCCAGGCTTCCTCCTCCCACTAAGAAAAGAACAGCAGGGCCTTGTGTCTTATGGGCAATAATTCGCGTAATGAAGTGAGATCGTAGTCTCGCCTATGAATCCTGGGGAACCCTGAAACAGCCTCCCTTTCAATACCCAAAGCATCTAGCATGACTCTTTTGTGGGTTCATAAAATGCTCAAATGCTCAAACCATATGTTCAAGTATAATTCCCCATGGTTATATTCTTCTTTACATTAAAAAAAAAAAAGAGGAGTTTTTCAACATCGGGTAGAAAAATAAGCATGAATATTGGGGGAAATAGTCTGCACTTGGCCCTGAGTCAGTTCCAGGACAGCAGAGCTGACACCAGCCTCATGGCCTGGTCTCTCCCCGCCTTCGCTTCATCAGTAGGTACCAGAAAGCCCTGCCCAGAATCATCCGCACATGAACGCAAGCCTTGCTAGACTTGTCCTGTGTTAGTATTGCTTCTAGAAAAGGAGGAAAGCCGACCTAAATTTCGAGCAGTCTTTCCCATCAGGGTATACATTTTACCATCTAAACATATATAGACATAACACGGAGCTTCCTGGGGGTAACATCAGTTTGAAAGTGTGGTTTGGGTTGAAACCCAGAAATCAACCCAAGCTCAATTAATATTTGACAAAGGAGGCAAGAGCATACAATGGAGTCAAGAGAGTCACTTCAATAAATGGTGTTGGGAAAATTGGACAGATACACGCAAAAAAAGAGAAACTAGACCAACTTACACCATACACAAGAATAAATTTAAAATGGATAAAAGACTTAAATGTAAGTCGTGAAACCATAAAAATCCTAGAAATCATAGGCAGCAAAATCTCAGACATCTCTCATAGCAATATGTTTACAGATACATGTTCTAGGGCAAAGGAAACTGAGGAGAAAATAATCAAATGGGACTACATCAAAATAAAAAGCTTCTGCACAGCAAAAGAACCATCAACATCATGAAAAGGGAGCCCACTGTATGGGAGAACATATTGGGCAATGATACATCTGATAAAAGGTTAATATCCAAAATATATTAACCTTTTACATACAACTTAACAAAAGGAAGACAAACAATCCAATTTAAAAAATGGGCAAAGGACCTAAATAGACACTTCTCCAAAGTGGACATACAGATGGCCAAGAGACATGAAAAATGCTCAAAGTCACTGATCATCAGAGAGATGCAAATGAAAGCAACAATGAGGTAACATCTCACACCTGTCAGAATGGCTACCATCTACAAATCAACAAACGACAAGCGCTGGCGAGACTGTGGAGAAAAGGGAACCCTCGTGCACTGCTGGTGGGAATGCAGACTGGTGCAGCCACTGTGGAAGACAGTATGGAGTTTCCTCAAAAAACTAAAAATGGAACTCCCATTTGACCCAGTGATCCCACTTCTAGGAATATATCCTAAGAAACCCGAAGCACCCATCAGAAAGAATGTATGCTCCCCTATGTTCATAGCAGCACAAATTACAATAGCTAAGATCTGGAAACAGCCCAAGTAGCCATCAGTAGACCAGTGGATAAAAAAGCTGTGGTACATTTACACCATGGTTTACTCTGCAGCTGTAAAAAAGAAGGCTCTTTTACCCTTTGAGACAGCATGGAGGGACCTGGAGAGTAACATGCTAAGTGAAAGAAGTCAGTCAGAGAAAGACAAGTATCACATGATCGCACTCATATGCAGAATCTAAGTAACAAAATAAACTGATGAACAGAGTGGGTCCAGGGACATGGAAGCATGGAACAGAGTGTGGAATCTCAGAGGGAAGGCGGGGGAGGGTGGGTGGGTGGGTGGGTGGGAGGTAATCAACCAAAGACCTTGAATGCATATATGCATAACCCGTGGACCCAGATGATAGGGTGCTGAAGGCCTGGGGCGGGGTGAGGGGATGGGGCTGGCTGGAGCGGGTTAATGGGGGGAAGGGGGACATATGTAATACTTTCAACAATCAAGAGTTATTTTTAAAAAGAAGAAGAAGAGAAGGAGGAGGAAGGAGGAGGAGGAGGAGGAGGAAAAAGGAGGAGGAAGAGGAGGAGGAGGAAGAGGAGGAGGAGGAGGAGGAGGAAGATGAGGAGGAGGAGTAGTAGGAAGGAGTAGGAGGACTAAGAGGAGGAGGATTAGGAGGTTGAAGAAGAAGGTGAAGGTGAGATCTTTGACAAGCACTTTTGGGGAGCTGTCACGGTCCACCATGGAAAGGACGCCGTGACAAGAGCCACCTCTGAAGCCTGAGGCGTGCTCTGCGTTGTGGGGGCTCTGTGCAAATCACTCCTTGGGCGAATGTCAAGAAATGGGGGTCCCACAGACAAAAGCCCGTGCCACTGGCCTGGTCCCTCTGTGCAGATGGCAATGGCCCCTTTTACTCCCTGGAGTCTGACTTTCTGAAACGGATTTTGTTCGTTGTGCACGGAGATCGGGGGAGCTGCACGTGGCAGCTATGAATGGGGCCTCCCCGCGCGGCTCTGAAAGCAGCTGGAGGGGGTGGTCTGCGCGTGTGAGCCTCCCGGGACAGAGCTGCAGTCGGGCTGCGACACACAATGGCATCTATGTGTGACCCGCGGCGGCTTCCCAATGAGGGGGGACGCGCGCCCAGCGGGGACCAGCGGGCCCTGTCCCCCCTCCTCATCGCAGAGAGGCTGCTGTTTGTCTGCTGGGGAAATGTTTTGAAATCAACAAATGCATTGTTCGCTTCGGCACAGCCTGGATTTTTCCCCCTCTCTCTGCCTTCATTTCCAGTTCTCCAACGTCTCTTTCCCCTTTAACTTTACGGCATTTTTATGTGCCTGTGCATAGAGGACCCACACGTGAAGTCGGATACGTCAATTGTCTTTGCAGACGCCTATGGCTGTGCTATGCTGTGGGGATCCATGATGAGATATGGAGTTCTCATCCCCTTCCCACGCACATAACTGACAGTGTTCCCTGTGCTCAGAGCACACGGCCGAGCTCAGCCATCGCAGCAATAACAGTGCGTTCTCAACAGCCCCCCTGACGGTCTGCTCAATTCTTTCCGAGAGCGCCTCGCTGGCCCCCACAAAGGTTACTGGAAAGCCAACCGGAAGCCAGGAACCCGACTGCGAGCGCAGAAAGTCCCCGCTATGCAGACGGGGCGAGACCATGGAGTCACTGACACTCCGCAATCCCCAACGCAGGTCCCCCTCGGGCCCAACCCAGCGTCCTCGCACCCGGGCGCAGTCTGGGTTCGCTGGCGTGTTTGTTCTATTTTTGATTTCAGAGAAGAAGGGAGAGGAAGAGAGAGAGAGAAACATCAAGGATGATGGGGACCGAGCCCGCAACCCTGGCACGTGCCCTGACCGGGAATTGAACCGTGACCTCCTGGTTCACGGGTCGACACTCAACCATTGAGCCCTGCCGGCCAGGCTTGTTCTGCTTTGTTTTCATAACAGATGCTACAAGTTAAAAACGGGACTCTGAAGCCACCACAGACTTTTTTCTTCTCTGTGCTGGTTCACCTGCCCCCAAAAGGCCAAACAAGGGCCAAGTGGCATTGCTGAGTGACACTTCACGATCTGCCGGAGCCACCACCCCCCCACCCCCCACCCCCACCCCAGCGATCCAGGAATGCACGTGGAACTCGCACAGCCCAGCACACGGATAAACAAGCCGAATGCCTCCCGGATGACAGATGACTGCAGAGCGAGGGGACAGGAGGAATTTGGTACAGACACGTGAGGACCAATGGACTCTTTAAACTTGAACTTGGAAAACGTGGAGTTAGCTAGAATTGTGAGCTGTAAACCAAATAACTCCCTTTTTTAAATCATCCATCCACGCAGCTCTCTGTTCCCCGCTCTCTGAGAATCCAAAGCAGGTCGTGGGGAGAACTTCCGGAGAACAACACAACCATGAAAACAACCACCTCGGCCAAGAACACAGACTGTCTGTCTCTGGGGTCCCAAGGGACTAGGGGAACCTGAACATTGACATCAGAGTCCGAGGCCAGGCGCTCACGGACCCCTGATGGACGCCAGCACCCTCCTCCCCACCCAGGAGAGGAGCAGCAGGTACTCACCGGTCATCAGGGTGTAGTAGTTGGGATAAGAGAGCGTGGGGAAGTCCGGGGTCAAGTAGTCCGCTTTCACCCCCCGGCTCACAATCTCTTTCAAACCAGGCAGGGACTCCAGGGCCTCGTCGCTGATGTAGTCGGAGCGGAAACCATCCAGCAGGAACACCAGCAGCTTCCGGGGGGCAGAGGCCGGCTGGGCCAGGCCCAGCGCGAGGACCAGCAGGAGGGCCCGGAGCGGCACTGCCATGCTGCCAGGAGCCTGCCGAGCCGGCTGGCACAGCCGTCGCCTTGCAAAGACCGAGGATGGAGAGTCTGTAGCTCTTCTCTCTTCTAGGGGCTGGACCTTGACTGCTGGCCTTCCTGAGCCAAGTTCACTTTCAGAATTTAAAGGTACAGCACCGTGTTTTTATTTTTGAGTCCTATCTGAGCATTTATTCCAAGCAGCAGGTCAGCCACAGAAATCTGCTCTGCAGCCCCCCAGAAGCCAGCTGCTCATATATATAGGGTAGGACAGAGATTACATAGGGAAGCCGGTGTGACAGGCCTGGGGAAGTAGGAGGCTGGGGTGGGACCCCCTTGTTTGGGCAACAAGGTTGTTCCTCTTTCCGTGATAACAGACAGCTCTCGAATGGAATGAACCGCATTCCAAGGGTGGATTCCCCCCCAGGCCCAAGGTTGACTCCCAGGTCCCCAGGGCACACAACTCCCAGCCAGGTCAGAACGTCCTTTCTTTAATCAAGGCAATCATGGTTAAAGGAGCAGGATTAATATTTCCCATCACCATAGCTAGTCGCCAATACTTTTTTTTTTTTTTGCCCCTAACATTTCCCCACGGCTATTTCTATCATCTCGTATCTACGAGATTAGTTTTAGATGAAAAGTCTCATCGTGCTGGACCGCATCTGCTTCTGCCTTGAAAGCAGCTCCCAGGGATGGAATACAGCTCATGCAGGGTCCTGGGTATGTTTTCTATCAACGGAGGATTGTCAGGAAGATTAAAGCAGCACATTCCTTTAAATTCCTCCCAGCCCTGGTTATCCGCTGCTGCCCGATTTTCTAGGACTGCCTCCCTCACCTGCCTCAGCTCCTAATGTATCCCGTGTATAGCCCTGGAGGTGGCATTCAGGGCTCTTACCTTGCTACACACCAGCCGGGTCACTTCTACATGAAGGCAGCCTGCCAGTCCCAGCCTCACCGACATGGTCCCAGCACTACATCCAGCGGGGCTCCACGGGTGGGCATGGCATTGCAGTCCGGTGCAACGGCCGAGAGAAGTCTCTTTTGGTTCGGACCCTTTGGTGCTGTTTCTGGGGCTCCCAGCTGGTCGGTCATCCGAAGGAACAAGGCCTCCCGGTACAGCACCCATTTTTTAAAAACATCCGTGCTCACCCTTTACTGGAAAACCAGGAGGCTGACGCCTTGGGAGAAGCTGGATCCACAAACAACCCGGAATTAATGCCAGGGGAGACCGTGCAACCTTATTATTTTGGGTGAATGTTCCAGAAATACAGGCGCCCACAGAGAGGCGGAATCTTAGAAGATGACAGAAGGCCGCACGAATTTTGCACTCAGGCTCACCCAAGGGAGGAGCCCAGGGAAAGGGCAATCTTTTAATTTGCTGGCATCCCACCTCTTTGCTTGATTTAAACTCTCTTACACGTCACCTAACAGTTTAGGAAGGCAAACCTCTTCACTCCGTGAATAAACCAAACTCGGTGGGCATGTGTGTGAACTTTTCGGCAGATCCCTGGCCATAGCACTCGCAAACCGATTGTTTGTCTCGGTCTCAGACACCTCTGTCTCCGATGCCACTATCTACAGTGTTTGTTGCTTTATTTTCCAAGTTGCTGGTGTCCAAACCCATCCATGGGAGGGAGTGGATCTCAGCAGAGCTGGAGCGCCAGAGAGGAAGTTCCCACATGGGCCAGCAGGGGGCACTGCTGGCAGGTTGTTCTGAGGCAGCATTGCCCTGGAGGGCAGGCAATGAGATGGAGGCTGGAGGGTGAGAGTTTGCGATGGGAAGGCAGAGCTGGGAATGATGCAGCCTCCACCCCAGGACAGGCCCGGGCGGGAGGCGGAGGCTGAGCAGGGCTCAGTGAAGTCCAGCGAGGCACAGGGTGAGAGCCTGAGCGCTGAGTGCAGATTCTCAGGGTGCCCGGGGCGGCAGAGATGGAAAAGGCTGATGAAATGTGCCTGGCCCATAGCTGTGCTTGGCATCACAACTGTCGCTTGGGCCCTGGTGAAACGGGCAAGGCTCAGGGCCACGCTCCACAGGGACCCAGGGCAGGCGGATGGCAGCCACCTGACCGGATCGATCCTGATGCCTCTCTCACCCCTCCCCTCTGCCCGTGCCTTCCCTTCTCCTGTTCTCCCGTATCTGGAGTCTAGCCCTCACCCGAGACCACCCAGACCACCGGTCGCTTTCTAAATTGTGTGACGAAAAAGAAAACACACCGGCCAAATTCCCATCCCCATCTCCGCTGACTTAGGCACCAGACTTCATTTTCCCCATGAAAATAACGCCTTTTACCATTGAAAAATAAGAAAAAGGGGGGTGCCTATTCTTAATGTGTGTTACCTTGAGAACAGGATGTTATTTACATTTCTTTGAGTTGTGGGAGATTGTTCTTATTCTAAACAGAAAAAATAAAAGGGGTGGAAGAGGGACAAAGGGAGGGAGGGGGGAGGAAGGCAGGGAGGGAGAAGGGAGGGGAAGGCGCTGAGGAGCTGATGGGAGGCCTGTCATTGTCACACAACCTAAAGAAGAACTTCTTCCTGGAGTGAGGGGGGGGGGGGGCGGGGGGCCGGTTCCGAAGCTTCCGGACTGTGAAGATAACAGCTCAAGGCCACATAGTCTGCCTTGGGGATGACCTTGGGGCTCACTTGGGGAGAGGAAGGATTCTAAATCCTAAAGATGACTATAAAAGGGGCACCCACTTTCCTCTGCTGCTGGGGGGGGCAACCCAAAATACAGCCCCCTGAGCGCCTGATACAGCTGTGAGGAGGCCAGCCCTTCACTGACTCGCTCTTCTTAGAGTCCACAGGCCCCTAGGTCCCCAAGGCCCCACCCATCACGCTGTGACGTGTCTGGGTGGCGGTATTGCTGATGTGCCCTCTATTGTTTTATGATGATCGTATCATTTTATGATCATGTTTAGGTAGTTTCTCTAAGGTTTTGGGTCAAAATGATTGTACAGAAACATCTTCATCATACATGCCAACATGTGAAGAAAGAAGCATTTGAGACGGGATTCCAATCAGACTCCTGGTCATGTACATTGTGACCCAGAAGAGGTTGGAAGTGAAAGCTCAGCAACAATAAGCGAAGGCACTCGGTCAGAAAATGTGGTTAATATTAGGTGCCCAGAGCCTTGTGGCCCAAGGCCTTGTTTGTCCGTTATGGGATGCCCTCAGCTGGGGCGGATTATCAGCACCGAACATGTAAGAGTGCTTCTTGCCACTTGTTTTCCAAGGGTTGGCAGTGCTCTAAGGTCATTGCCCGTGGGGTTTCACGTAGATAGTGCAGAAGAAAGAGAACTTTCCTTAGAACATGGGACCACCTTTGCCCCGGGACACGCATGAGCTCCCGGGAATGTGCTGTGCAGATCCGTCAGCACTATGGCGCCTGGCCTCCCCGGAGAGGCACTGAGAGGGGAGGGACGGGTCCTAGGAGAGAAAAGATGGGTTCCAGGGCTTGGGATTCTAGCATTGGACAACTGTGTGATTCTGGGAAGGTTACCTTCCCACACTTCGGTTTTCACCTCTGAAAAGTGACAGGAGAAAGGTTCAAGGTGCTTTCCAGCTATAGAATCAATGAGGTTCAGAAGCTGTGACCTAAGTCAGCCATGTTGGCCAACATCAACCTTCACTGGTCCTGTTACTCCATCTGTTTGCCCACCCGTGTTGGCCCTTCTTGGCTCATGTGAACACGCTCGTTTCCTAGAAATCAGCAGCTTTAGCTCCTCAAAGTCCTTGTCCCAATCCCAGACCAGGGCGAGTGTCCCATCGGCCCTCTCTCTGGTCAGGCGTAGGAACTAGAATCTTAATGAAAGGGCGAGGGCTATGCCCTCCATCTTGCCCCAGGGTAAGGGCTACACCCTCCATCTTACCTTGGCCATGTGCTCAGCAAGGCTTCTTCCCGGAAGCCCAAGCCTCTGCTAGCCACACCCAGGACTTCTTTAAACTAACCAATGACAATCAAAGGAAGTTGCCATAGATATGACCACATCCTGTGTAACAAGACACCGACTTGCGCCTGGCCAATCGGCAAGGCCCACAGTCCTTTCTCCTCCCCTTACTCCAACCCCCTATAAAACCCCTCTCCACACAGAGTTCTCTCTCTCTGCTTCCTGCTGCTGCGTCGGCGAGGTGGGGGACCAAGCTAGCTCAAATAAAGACTCTTATGCTTTTGCATCGGACACGGCTGGCTCCCTGGTGTGGTTTCTTGGGGATCCTGAAATCTGGGTATAACACTTAATACATTTTAAAGGACTGAAACCCTACAGAATATGTTCTAGACCCATGAACATATTCTTCTAAAATTAAGATGAAATAAAGACATTTTCAGAAAAGTGAAAGCTGAGAGAATTAGTCACCAACACACTTGTACTATAAGAAATAAGAAAGAATGTCCTTCAGGTTTAAGGGAAATAATACAAGATAAAAAAATTAAGACCTACAGGAAGACAAAAAAGTTATCAGAAATGGTAAATATGTAGATAAATATAAATGACTATATATTTTACTTTTTTTACTGTCCTTTAAAAGTAACAGTTTAGCCCTAGCCAGTTTGGCTCAGTGGATAGAGCATTGGCCTGCAGACTGAAGGGTCCCAGGTTCAATTCTGGTCAAGGGCACATGGGCTCGATCCCCAGTAGGGGATGTGCAGGAGGCAGATGATCAATGATTCTCATCATTGATGTTTTTATCTCTCCCTCTCCCTTCCTCTCTGAAATCAGTAAAAAAATATATATTAAAAATTTGCTTTTAAACAAAAAAAAATAACAGTTTAAAGTAAAAATAATAACACTATGATGGGACTTATGACATAACTTATGAAGAATTAGAAGATAAAAAACAGTAGCTTAAAATTCAGGGGTAGGATGTTTAAATGGAATTAAACTGTTGTGACATTTTTTTCATTTACAAAGTGGGGAAAGTCAGATATAAAGAATAAAATGTCAAGTGATCAGATATTAATTTTAAGTAGATTATAATAAGGATGCATATGTTAATGCTAAGAGCAACCACTAAAAATAATGCAAAGAGGCATAGCTAAAAAGCAGATGGAGAATTAAACTATATCAATATAGTAAAGG